GGTCCAGAGCAGGGGGCTCTGTGCAGTAGGCTGGGGGATCTGCAGAGGCTGGAGGTCCTGCAGGGTAAGTTCATTACTGTCATAATTTTTCTTTACTCACCAAGGCCAGAGTGACTGGAGAACATATGGGTTAGAAGTCTGACCAGCAGCTTCAACATCACCTGGGAACTTGTTAGAAAGGCAGATTCTGGGGCCCCGCCTCAGACCTATCGAATCAGACACGCTGGAGTTGGGGCCCAGCAAACTGTTTTTCACAATCCCCCTGGATGATTCGGATGCATAGTAAAGTTTAGAATTATCGGATTTGAGATACATCCCGGGGTGCAGGTGTGTGTGGAGGAAGGGGTGGAGACCAGATCGGAGGGAAAGACTGGAGGCCAGCAGCCCATTTCTGAGGTTGTTGCCATTGCCAGAATGAGAACTCAGAGCCTGAAATCAGATTCGCAACATGAGTTGCACTTTAGAATTATCTGGGGAGCTTTTAAAACATACCAGCACACTGGCTTCACCCCAGACCTATTAGATCAGAATCTCTGTGGGGGGGATAGAACCTTGGCATCAGTTTTTTAAGAAAAATTTCCCCCGGTGATACTTATGTGCCACTAGGGTTAAGAATCAGTGGTTCTCAAGCTTGAAGATGCATCAAAATCTCTTGGGGATCTTGTTAAATGGACGCTATTGAGCCCCACTTCCAGAGTTTTAGATTCAGCAGGTCCGGGCTGGAGCCTGAAAATCTGTATCTCCAAGTTCCCAGATGATGCTGAGGCTGCTGGTCCAGGGATCACACTTTGGGAATCACTGCCTTATATGTTCACCAATAGCCCTAGCAGGTTAAGCAGAGTGAAGGCTGTGGAACCAAACCTGGAGGGGAGCTGGAGGGCCCCTCCCTCTGCAGTTAACTGAGTCGAGCTGATATATCAATGTGCCTATGACATGATTTATCTTGCTGAAGATGTGAAAAATTGTAGTTAATTATCTAGATATTTTTACCTGCCAGACATGTTTATTACTTAAATTTTTAGACCTAAAATTTGCCTTTCCCCAGTACAGTGGCTGCTTGAGATTTGATAAAGAAAGCCTAATTTTCAGATATTTCTCAGTTTTGTCCCTTAAAGGATTTCTCCTACATATGAACTTGCAGCATGCAAGTATTCTGAGGGAAGTGCTAAGGTTTGAGTTATCATTTTAGATGTACAGTCAGAAATCAGGCTTTTAGAATGATCACAGTTATGGGGCTTTCAGTATAATACTCATTGCTCAAACAACTTATGAAAATAGTCCAAGGCAACTTAACTTTTATTTCCTCTATAGAGCTTGTCACCATTTATTAATCGTAATTCCCCTCAACATCACATATCAGATGAAAGAGCGATTTTTCTCCTTTGTTTCCATAGCATTAATATTTAAATGGCAGAGTATGATACTCATAAACAGCTACAGAGGAGAGGAATATTCCTAGGAAGGAAAACCTGGACTAAATGCCACCCCAAGGCTTCTTCCCTAAAAAACACCCTAAACGAAGCCAAGAAAACACGCCCAGTACACCTCCCAGTATAGGATAGGAAGATGACGAAGCATCACTTGTGAAATGAATAACATTACGTGAAATGAATAACATTACGTAAAATGAATAACATTGTCTCACAGATTTCCCTTATAAGACTGAAGAAACATTTGGAGAGGTGGAGGTGGAAGGCGGTGCAGGTGGATATGATGGCAGAAGTCCTTCTGCTTTGAACGTGAGTGCAGCTCACAGAAGAATCGAAAGCACGTTCCCTACTTGTTTTGTGGCTCCAGGAGGGAATTCGGTTTTATTACTTTAGATATCTATCTGGCATCACTCATGTGCTAGGCTCCGGGCTACAGGTCACAGGAACACCAAGATAGATGAGGCACAACCTCAGCCTTCAAGCAGCTGGTAGAGAGGATCAGATAAAAGCCCAAGTCGGGTGGGACACACGCCAGGGAAAGATGTAGACAAAGTGGTGGGGCACATCATGGGGGGAGGCGGGAGACTGGGAAGGCATTGGAAGATAGGATACTTGCAAATGGAGATCAGAAATTTGGGTAAAGGGAGCAGAACAGATTCACTATATGTTTTCAAAGCATTCATTGAGCCCTTACCTTATGAAAGGCACTACACTGGGTTCTGGGGATATAAACATGAGTAAGACTTTTTCCTGCTTTCAAGGAATGGGGAAAACAGGCAAGGTAAATTAGAGTGCAGCAAACCTTCCTGGAGGAAGTCCTAAGCTGGGTCCTAAAGAATGAGTGGGGCTTATTCAGGAAAAGATGGAAGGAAGTGGGGAAGGGAAAGCACACTACTGAGAGAGGAAACAGCAGGTACAAAAACCTTGAAGAGAGAGAGAACCAGGTGATTGTGGAACTGCAAAGGGCCCAGGATGGCAGAGGATAGAGTGTTAGGACAGGTAAAACAGGAGATGAGGCTGAGGTGTCATGGCGGCCTGGTCAAAAGAGGCCTAGCTTTTAGACATTTGCCCATGCAAAGGGTTTAGGCTTTTTCTACAAATTATGGGGAACCACTAAGGGATTTTAACATGGGTATTGTGTGAGAATATTTAAAGTTTAGACAGACTATTCCTGGTTACGGCCTGGAAGAGGGTTTGGTAGAAGGCAAGACTGGAATCAGGTAATGATTTAGGAACCTATGGCAGTAAGAGAGGTGAGAGAAGACGGGCCTTGGTAGAGTAGGTGGAAAGAACGGTTGGGGTAAAGTTATATCAATGAGTTAGAATCAATAGGATTGATTGGCTGAGAGGGTGTGTGGTCAGAGAGAGAGGCTCAAAAATGACTCCACATTTTTTGGCTTGGGCCACATGATGGTGGTGTCATTTATAAAGTCAGAAAATAAAGGAGGAGTGGGCATGAGTTGAGAGAGGAGACTAGATGATGAGTTTTGGACGTGCTGAGTTTGTGGAGCATTCAGATCAAAGGGTCCAACAACCACAGTTGTATACATGAGTCAGGATAGAGATCTAGACAGTGATTGAAGCTGTGGAACTAGAAGAGGTCACTGAGGATGAGTGTAGAATGAAAAGAAATAAGAAAAGCATGCTTTCTACTATCACTTCTCTTTAACACTATATTGATGGTTCTAGGTGGTTCAGTAAGGTAAGAAAAGATTATTAGAGGCATAGGGATTGGAAAGGAGAAAACAAAACAGTCTTTATTTGCAGATCATATAATAATTTACATAGAAAATCCAAATTACCCTAAAGATAAGTTATTAGAAATAATAGGAGAGTTTAGTAATGTGGCTGGGTATAAGATTAATATAAAAATCAGTTGCATTTCTCTATACCAGTAAAAACTATAAAACAAAATTAAAGAGAAAACAAAGTCTACAAAAATTATCATAGAATATTGAGTATCTAGGAGTAATCTAACATAAGACATGAAAGACCTCTGCAGGGAAAATTATAAAAGCTTATTAAGAACAACTAAAAAAGACCTAAATAAGAGAGGAAGATATTATATTATGAATAAGACAATATTATAAATATTTCAATGATTATCTACAGATTCAGTGTATTTCCAAACAAAATCCCAGGTTTTTTCATGGTACTTGATAAAATTATTTCAAAATTCACATGAAGGGATAGAAGGCCAAAAGTAGTCAGGATATTTCTGAAAAAGGAAGAGTGGAGAGGAAGGATTGTGTGAATTGGTACAGTAATAGGCAAATAGACCAGAAGAATAGACTAGAGAAACACAGATGAAACTTCGCTTTCATATGACAGAGGTGACATTATCAGATCAGTAAGGAAGAAAGAGCAATCAATAAATGGAGTTGGGAAAAATTAGTTATCCATTATCCATGTGGAAAAACATAAAATTGGATCTTTGCCTCATGTTATATGAATTCCAAATGGATTAAAGATTTAAATATCCTTAAAGAAACTGAAAGACAAGTTATAAGCTTAGGTAAATATTCATATATACAGAACTACAAAGGATTAACATCAAAATATGTAAAAAAACTCCTACATATCAGTAAGAAAAGCACAGACACACACACATCCCCTAGTAGAAAAATGGGAAAAATACGCAAACAGAAAAATTACCACATGATCAATAAACTTGTGAAGAGATGCTTAGCATCATTAGTGATCAAGGAAATGCAAATCACAGCCACTATGAAGTGTCATTTTACATTCATTTAATTAGGTAAAAATTAAAATGTTTGATAATGCCAAGTTGGAGTACAATAACTTTGGAAAAGAGTTTGACATTATCTCCTAAAGTGGAACATGTGATCAGTTCAGAAAAGAGTGTAGAATTCTCTTCTAAAGTTGAATATTCACATTTCCTGTAGCCCCAGCAATTCAGCTCATAAGTGTATACCCCAGAAAAACTCTTGTACATGTACAACAGGATACGTGTAGAAGAATGATCATGGTGGCATTGTTTACAATAGGAAAAACCTGGAAACAACCTAAATGTCTAACATTAGGAGAGTGGGAGAACAAATGGTAATATATTCACACAACAGATTATTATCTGTTATTATCCAAAAATAAATGGACCATAGTAACTTGCAACAATATGGATGAATCTAAATAACATCACCTTAAGGAGAAAAAGTAATTCTCCAAAGGTTATTTACAGTATGATTCCTCCTTAAAAAAGTAAAGTAAAAATACTGATATATATTTATATCTCTCTATATATTATATGTGTATATATATGCACAATGTGTATGTACAGTATACATTTTACATATAATATCCATCATATATGTACATATATAATAAATATAAATGCAGTAAAACTATATACAAAGGAAGGGAAGGGAACGAACCTGGGATTCAAAAGGATGCTTATCTCAGGCCGGGAAAGGAAGCAGGAGGATGGAATGAGGGGGAAAGCACATGGTTAGAAGTAGATCTTTGTCAAGGTTCTAGTTTTATTTTTTAGATGGTGCATTGATGAATGTTTAATACATTATTAAAAATAACTAAATAAAAGTAGCTCAGGCCTGGACCAATGATGAGAGAATCATCAATCAAGGATTATGATGAATCCAATACTGTGAATCTGAGGTCCAATTAGAGAAAAATGATTTTCTTGAATGAATGAGTGAATAGAAAATCGTCAGTGACAGTGATCAGAGAGAAACCTGATACAGGCAGATCTTTATCACACTACTGAATTCTATAATAGAATGTCCTTGTTACGGCATCTCTTTAGGGGATTATAAGTAAACTCGAGGAAATTTTGGAAAAACAAGTTATTAGGTAAGCTATGACTTGTCTAAAAATGTTCCTGGGTCATTCTTAAAAATGATACCATTTGTCATCCCTGTATAGCTTTAGGGATACAGTCCTTTTACACTTCCTCCTGTGTTTTTGCCCTGAAATTAAAGTGAACTGCTATTGGATGATTTGCAATTGAGTTATATGATCTAAGTCATGTGGACTAAAGGAGACATATTTAAAACATGATCTTTCTATTTCTGATTGTTTAAAATAGTGAAAGCATCCAGAGAATTAACAAAACCCCACATTTCTAATACAGTACTTTCAGAGTATTTTAAATTTTATACAAATCACTTTCCTTTACACCACAATTACCAACCAACTTAGATTCTATCCCTAGTGTTTTATTAGACTGTTTCTTTCTCTCTCTTCCTGAATCTTGTCATGTTGCAGTTAGGCTGCTTCATTTGAACCCCCTGCTGTGGCCCGCAGAGACCCCAGTAATGGGATTGTCTCAGCTCATGGAAGTACAGGCTAGCTATGGCTGACTGTTGACCCAACTTTATGAGAACAATTCAGAAATAGTTTTCTCATTACACAGTGATATCGGCCCTTTACTAGCCCTAATGAGTTGTTCAAAAGAATGAAGGACTAGAAAGGAAAACTCTTTAGAAAGAAACAGCCTTAAACATCCCTCCTGTCATTTGTCCCCACAGCTTCCTTTCAAGTAGGAACTTTTCTCCTTATGACTGAGATGTACTCTGATGAGTTTATTCACACACATTTGCTCTCACCCTCCCATTTTGAAGCAGAAGTGTGCTGGGGGGTGGGGACCATGCTGTGTGTGTTGGGGGTCAGAACACCTTCCTGGGTCTGGACATTCTCATAGCCACACATTCATTGGTTCTGAGCTCTCTTCTCCCATTAAAAAAAAAAAAAAAAAAAGCCAGCCAATCACCAGCTGGTAGTTTCCATTTCTCTAGAATTGTGCCTGGGCATTTTGGGCTTGAGGTAGGATTATATCCTTTAGTTGCCTATTTAATTTCTACCTGTTCACTAGTTAGTAAAATTTTTGGGGCAGCACCAAAAAGCAAAAGAATCCTAACTGTGCATGACACAGGTGCCTGGCTTCACTGTGGCAAATTCCCAAATTTCTTCAGTGAAATCCCTTTAAAATCTTAGATTTCATTTTAAATGTTCTCTTGTAAAGGATAAATGTTTTTTCAGATAATGACAATGGAAACGCCATTTCCAAGGCAGATAAAATGCTCCACTAGATTGTAAGCCCCTGGAGGACAGGGTTATGCTTTGTATGACTGTCTCATTGGCACCTAGCTCCAGGCATGATATGTAGTAAATTTTAGAGACTGGAGGTGAGATGGTTGAGTAATGTGATGATTTCATAGCCTGGATACTCAAGTCATACTCTGCCAGTCTTCCCTATCTTCCAAAGGTCTTCCTGGGGATGTTAATTGAAAGTACTATTCAGATAAGCAACCTAAGTCCCAATTTAGGACTCTGTGATAAAACTGGGAAGGAGAAAATGGGGCCTCTCACCTCCCCAGCGCCCCCTAACCTGGATCTTAGGACTGTAATGCTCAGGCATGCCCCTGAAGAAATATAGACAAAGAGCAGAGAAAGGTGTCTTGTCCCAAGAGAGTCTCTGGGAACATTTCCCAGCCAGCTCTCAGAGTAGAAGAGAAAGACTAATAAGGATGGCTGACCCACATCTAGCACCAGGACCTACCTGGGTCTGAGGCAGAAATGTAAGTAGTATGCCTGGAGGCTGACTTTTAGAGCAAAGTAAACCTGCCTGCTGGAAAAAAGTGGCCCCATCGAATGTCCCGATCAATCAAGATTAACAATTCCTCCTCTTTAAAGGGAGAGCTAATAAGAGGAGCAGTTGAATGGGAACAAAGATGGTAGAGTCCCCACCCCCAGAGTGAGAACTCAGTAGTGTTTGTTAAAAGAACGAATGAAGTCAGGCAGTGTTGCTAGGGAGTTGTTACTATGAGAAATACAATTTGCATGCAAATTTTTCATTATTAGCAACTAGGAGCCTCTAGCAAGGAGCCTGATGGAAGGGCCGATATGTTGCTTTTCTGAATAAGACATGAATGGAGAGGAACACCGCTGGTATTCTGCAGAGCTTGAAGGAGAAGCTTGGCTTTAGTTATGTTACATTTAAGACTGTGATGTCACATAGATAAGTTCTGGAGGCACTATAGAAACAGGAATGGATTTCATGTGAAAGTTCAGAATATTGGATTTCCAATTCTCTTCTCCAATCTGGTCTCCTTTTCCCCACAAATGGAAGAAAGAAAAGCTAGGCCCTAGTTCCTGTGAGATGCCAAACTGAACTAGTTGTGATGTTTGGCTTACGCATTTTAAAAGCTAATGGAAACTGGAGACAAATTAGGAAAAAATATGCAAATGATTAAAAAGTTCAGAAGTACTTGGAGTGGAAGTTATGCCATCCAAAGGAGATGGCGGGGACAGCTCTATTTATTTGGGGAAGTCTTTATTTCAGCTAAAACACAGCAGAGGAAAAGGTCTGAAATTGCATCAAGATAAATTTAGGATGGGGGGAACTTTCTGATAAGGATTATTAAAAATCAGGAAATCCACTTGCATATCCTCACCCCAGAGTGTGGTGCCCGTGTGGTGATAAAAAATGTTTTTTGAGATCAGGTCATGGAATCATTCTTAAAAACTTTTACAACCAACACACATTGCTTTGCATTTTTGATGCTTAGCAATCATGAAAATTGACCAGATGACTTCTCGCATCCCTTCCAGCTCTTTTATTCTAAAAATGGCCCAAATTGGTTGATTATTTACTCTACACCCTACAGAGTATCTAGAGGCCACAAGTAATTTCATCTTTGCAGCACATATCCACACTCACACCCTGGTTTTCCACCAGAAACATTGAGACTTTTTCTCCATTGGTAAATTGCTGTCGTTTCCTTTCTATAGTGCCATTATTTATTCTAATCACTGAGGCTGTGTTACTCAGGTCCCTCTGATAAACATCAACGTGAGTTATACATGTGCTGTGAGGAGGGGAAAATGAACCTCTAAGCCGCGGTCATATTGGTTTCCTAAATGATGCTGCATGTTTTAACTGGAATTTCTGTAGTATTCTAGTGGAAAAAAGAAGGTGGGGGTGGAGGGAAGGGTTCCTTTGGTTTTCAGGCTGTTAACTGTAATTAGCCTGGTTTCTGAGATGTAATTATCTTGCAATCTCAAAGCAAACACCCTGGAGGAAACTGCACTGTTAAAGACAGCATGGCATTAGAAATAAATTATTACCCTGGTGCCTGCTATTGCTACTTATGCTTTGTGATTTGTTGGGCTTTCTGTTAGCACGTGCTTGTTTAGGGCTGGAGTTGTGCAGCCATGTTGCCACTGTTTGTACTAGAGAGGCAGCAGGCATGGTTTTCTTCATTGTAATAATGGTGTGAAAACTTACAAAATTGAGTGATTTGTAGTGAGGTGGATGGACTAGAGTCTGTCATACAGAGTGAAATAAGTCAGAAAGAGAAAAACAAATACCGTATGCTAACACATATATATGGAATCTAAGAAAAAAAAAAAAGGTCATGAAGAACCTAGGGGTAAGATGGGAATAAAGACACAGACCTACTAGAGAATGGACTTGAGGATATGGGGAGGGGGAAGGGTAAGCTGTGACGAAGTGAAAGAGTGGTATGGACATATATACACTACCAAACGTAAAATAGATAGCTAGTGGGAAGCAGCCGCATGGCACAAGGAGATCAGCTCGGTGCTTTGTGACCACCTAGAGGGGTGGGATAGGGAGGGTGGGAGGGAGGGAGACACAAGAGGGAAGAGATATGGGAACATATGTATATGTATAACTGATTCACTTTGTTATAAAGCAGAAACTAACACACCATTGTAAAGCAATTATACCCCAATAAAGATGTTAAAAAACAAAAAAACAAAACAAAAAAACTTAGCATTATGGTGGCAAAGGCTGGTGTGGTACCATCTGTGCTTTTCTTACCAATTCCCAATCACCAAAAGACCCAGGGGTCAAGGACAGAGCGCACTGGGAGTCCTTTTTAGCAGCTGACATGAATGAATGAGTAGAGACGAGCATCATAATCCAAAGCTCAGGCAATTCAAACTATCCACAAGGAAAAATTCAAGTTGTTTGGAAATGACTGAGTGGAAGCAAGAATCATCCACCTATTTTAGGACCAACACTGAGGGACCATGAATCATCATCACTGACCGATCACAGAGGCTGGAAAGACCAAACTGTGGGGTTTGGAATCAGAGACTTGTGGGTTTGAACATATGATTGTGCAGCTTGTATGCTGCACAAATCGTCCCCACTGAGGGGACAAGTGGAGGCTGACATCCCACCAGTGCCCCAGACCAAGCTGTGTGCTCACGGGGCTGCATCCACTCGGGGGAAGGGTACTTTTTTTTCCAACTTGTCTACTCCATGGGAATGATTTATAAAATTTATCTGCCCAGAATATTTTACAGAGATGCCATATAGGCCACTATTTAATTGCTCTGTGTGACTTTGATCAAATTACTTATTCTCTCTGAAACTCAGCTTTTCCATGTTAAAAAAGACACTCCTCCTCCTCCTTCTCAGGATTATTTTGTGGACTCAAAACTGAATCTGAAAAGCTTGTGCTCAGTAGGTGGCAGGAGTTTTGATGATAATAATGATTATGACCAAGACAAACATTATCATCAATTATTCATCTAGACTGGAGCTTGTACCAAGTCCTGGATCAGGCACAGGGACCTATACGAGGCATGAGAACCTGGCTTCCTTTCTCACAGAGCTGAGGGTTTGGTTG